GTTCGACTTTTTTTGTTCTTGTCGTTCTTATCGTGAATTATTGGCTTTGACTATCATCTTCGGGTGAAATAAATGCATAAACTTCACGTGGACGATTCGTTTAATCTACATGTACTTGCCGCGAAAGTGATGCAGTGGTAAGTGGCGCGCTTACCACGCGCGCCACTTACCACTACATCACTTTCGCGAGGTCGAATGCTGGGCCCGTGAGTCGCCCGGGCCAACCAAGCCTTCCATCCCTCCGGGGTCGGTTAATTGGTACCAGACTTGTCTGGGAGGATAAAAACACTGACTTTGATCGGCTGGCCCCCGCAAGTCATTGTATAGGCCACATCGCATTCAAACGCCACTACGAATGTACAAATGGAAGTAGAATGCGTGCCGCATCCCAAAAAGGGATTGATCAACGGCAAATGCTTTATCCTTTTTAATTTTGTAATTGCCGCGAACCTAAAAATTACCACGAAGACAAAACGCAAGAGGTTTCTGAAGAAACTGCGTATGCACAACTTCCTGGCCTGTGGTTGACCAAAAACTAGATGATTGTTAGAATCACTCGAAAAAAATTTCTTCAAGGGACAAGGATGAAGCTCTTAGACGGGAATCAGGGGCCAGAAACGCATAAATTTGTAACGTCTACACAGCACGTAAATCGGGATATAAACGGATGCACTCAAAGGCGATCGGTACTTCTATTCCATACAATTATACATCTTATAACGTTCAATGATCATCCAGGTGCGTCGAAGCTTTAATGTGCAGCTACTCATAAATAGGAATTGCATGACAAAAAGTTATGAGCACAAGAATGGATCGAGAAATGTTCAAAGAAGTTACGTATTATGGAAAGCAAGCGTTTCCGTGGTGTTAAGACCAGGATGAGCCTGGATATTTATGGACGACGTAGGTCCGCCTGCCGTTGCCCAGGGCAACCGGCCCTCCGACCTCGTTCTCGTGATCATTCTTGATGTTAAAACTAGAGGAGGACTATTTACTATTCAATGAACTATGAATACGGAAGAACGCTTGAGAGTATGTAAGCTATAGGGATTTATTAGGTCCTTGTGAGTCCATCGGACTTGTGAACGACCTTTAA